AAAATCTTTATTTTGTTTATAAAAAAAAAAAAATCTATATAAGATCTCTTATTTTATCATCCTTAACATGAAAACATCGTACGAAATTGTTATGAAATTTTGTCTCTGTGCTTTGTTGTGTTCTTTGACATTATCTTGGGCTAATATTTAGATTTTTTTTTTCTCTTCAACAAGCTTTGAATTTACAGAAAATAGAAATACTTATAGAACAAAAATCCGTTCGATTGAACCTTCCATCTAGATTTTTTTAAATTATTATTTTTCTTTTAATTAAATTAAGCAGTTTTGTGTTTAAGTTAAGGTAGTAAGTTAACCTGAAGTATATTTTAGATATATCTAATAAATTGTTCAAGGTATATATTATATAAACTAATATTTTAGTATGTAGCAATAAAAAATATATATTATGTACATATCAAATAACTTTTGACGAATATATTTTTATCACGTTGTATATTAGATTAAAATGAAAAATATATTGTATAATGATAGTTGAACTTTCAATCGTACCAGAAAAAAATTAATGTTAGTTGGAAAAGTGAAACAAACCGCCAGAAAATTAACTGGTTGTCCCAAAAATGAAATCTACATGAACAGTAAAGCATCCTTCTCATAAGCTCGAGAAACTAAATAGTTGCATAAAGTTTAAAATCCCAATTAAATACAATTCTTTTTATTAAGAGAAATTGTCTCTAAAACTTAAGGATTAAAAATATTAAAAATATATGAATATGTGTAGTGAAGAATGAAAATTAAAACCCGTTTGATAATGTTACCGTTTCTTGTTTCTTGTTTTCAAATTTTATTAAGAAATATAAAGTATTTTGCTTTCTTGTTTATCATTTTCTGGAACATTCTCACAATTATATAAAAGTGATAAACAATATTATATCTAATTTGCTAATAGAAGATCTAATATAACAGTTAACAAGTTTAATCTTAAACAGCAGCCCAACCAAAAGAGTGTTCAACAAAATTAAAGAACGATAAAGATGAAAACATGGGAGTTTAAGGGAAGAGATGGACACACAAATTTAAAGTGATTCGATCAAGAAGATCTACATCCACTGTTGAAGGCCATCTATTAAACAATGATCAAGAAATCAGCAGCTCAAACAAAGAATCGAAGCAACACTCT